TTTTTTTTTTTTTTTTTTTTTTTAATAATAATGGAAGCCTGATTTAATCCTAAGCCAAGTTCTTGCATCCTCCTGTTGGGAGAGTCTATAATCCTGAGTGGGCCAGGAGTTCTGGAAGAGAGAAACTTGTGAAGACGTTAGCAATAGCTAAAGGGTTGTCCATTGTATGGAAGCATTTGAAGCTCTTACAAAATAAAATTTGGAGCCTCCACCATCTACATCAGGCAGTTGCTTCTAGGTCTTTGGGGGAATGATCTGTGTAGCTTCATTGTCCTTTAGGGAAGACAGGACCGAATGTCTGGTTTTTATTGCGTTTGTGATTAAATTTTTCTAATCTCTTTCAGTACAGTTGAAAGCAGAGTGTAACAAAGGATATGTCAAAGTAAGGCAGGTATGTGAGTAACCTGAATTTCCTTATTATACTTAATGATTTTGTTGTGGTGTTGACTTTAGAATATCTGTGCTAGCCAATAAAGGCTTCTGTGTCATGTGTAGAAGTGGTGAAGTAATATAGCTGAACATTAAACACAGTGCTTGACACACAATAAGTGGTGAACATATTGACAGCTACATTACTAATGTATCATTGCTATTATTATAATTATTTTTTATTATTTATTCCATAGGTAGGGGTCAATCCGACCAGCATTGACTCAGTCATAATTGGAAAGGGCCAAGAGATGAAACTGCAGCCTGGCCAGGTTCTCCACATGGTGAATGAACTTTATCCATATATTATACAGTTTGAGGAAGAGACAAAGAGCCCTGGCTTAGAAACACACAGGAAGAGAAAGAGGTCAAGCAACAGGGATTCCATAGAAAGGGATGCTGCTCAGAAAGCTGCCTCTGGGACAGGGCTGCAACCTGAGAGCAGTCCCAGCCAATGCTCTGTGGCCCCAAAGAGGGGGAAAGATCCACCTACCAAAAAGGTAGGGCAGTATGATTGATAGATGATGTGGTGGTTAAATGAGATATAATGACTGCTTAATTGTTTTGTACACTATAAAGCCCAGATATATATGATGGGATATTAGTCATAATGAGGGTTGTTAATCATGATTAAAGAGTCACTTGTTTGTGACGTGAAAATTTGGGTGAACATCCTTTTATATTTTTTTCTTTTAAATTCTTGAGGTAAGCCACTTGAAGGAAGGTAGGGCAGTAATGGCAGTGTATTAAAAACTGAATAAGTAAAATGGATTAGTTGTTTACCTATCCATAGAAGCACAGGAATGCTTTTCGTATGTTATGAAATTTACGTGCTGATGTTCAAGTGGAAACTTGGTCAGGTTGAAGTATGAGAGAAGATGTGATTCACACTCTGGCATTTCTGATCTCTGTCCAGACACCGAGGTGTGAATATACGAATACAGTTGGGATGGCTTATGGTTTCTAAAGGCACTAGATTGAAGAAAACTAGGTCTAGTTTAATTCTCAAAAACTAATCTTAGTTCTAATTTTGTTTGGATTTTCTGTCACATAGTATTAACTAGAGCCAGGGATGTAGCTCTGTGGCACTGCGCCTGCCTGGCAAGTGCAAGGTCCTGAGTTCAATTCCTGGTACCAAAAAGAAAAAACAAAAACAAAAACAAAAAACTATCAAAGTATTAACTAACAGCAGATTTAATTATTGGCATTTTAGAATTTACATTGCTTTTGTTGTTGTTCTTTAGGAACCACTGAGTCATTGGAGTCAAGGCTTGAAGATTTCTATGCAGGACCCCAAAATGCAGGTCAGAATAAAGTTTTGAAGTTTAAGTACAATTCGTGTTTTACAGGATTACTATACAGAGACCATGATTATAAATGAAATCAAATGTCAGACCTTCAAAGTGAGATTTGTTTTACTGGGACTATTTGGTGAGAACAAGTGCCTTTTCCCTTTAGTGATAAGATAGCAACTGGAGTTCTTTGGAGAGAAGCTAAGTTCTTAAAAAAAATAGCCTTCCTACCTTTTCCCTTTTCATTTATTTATGTACATATTTATTTATTTAAAAAATTTAGTTTGTATTAGTGCTTTTTGCAGTACATAATGTTTATTTTCATTGTGGTACCTTTTCCTTTTTGAAGTTCTGGGTCCTAGTGAGGGAAGTCACGTTAACGTTTGCATGGTCCCTTTCAAGGGAGCATCAGATACTGTATTGTAACTGCCACCTTTGAGGAGCTTTGACTTCTGTTTCAATTACATTCTGGGGCAAAAGGGGCCAGTACTATTAGGCTCCTCAGAACTCATACACCTGTGTTACATTGTCTGATATGTTAGAATGAATGCATTTGAATTCATGCCTTCAGAGATTTCTTTTTCAGTACTAAGGCTTGAACCCTAGGGCCTTGTGCACAGTAGTCAAGTATTCTATGACTGAGCTACAGCCCCAGTTCATTTTATTTTGAGATAAGCTCTTGCTAAGTTGCCCACACTGAGCTCCAACTTGTGATCCTGCCTCAGCTTCCGAAGAAGCTTGGATTACAGGCATGTGCCACCATGCCTGGGTTCCTGCAGGTTTTTAACATCAGTTCTGTGGGCACTATTTTGTACTATGCATCTTCTGTGTATCCTATACAGTGTGGTGGTAGAAAACAAGGACTTTGGAATCCACTTGATTTGCGTTGAAATTGTAGATTTCCCACTTAGTAACTGTGTGACTTGTATTGGGCATTCTCAATCTGTCTGAGTCTCAGTGCTCTTGATCTTAAAATTGGGATACTAAAATCTTGGCCCAAGATTGTTGTGGGAAATGAGTGATTTAATGTATATGACAGCACCTGGGGCACAGAAGATTCTTAGTAGTTGTTTCCTTTTTCTTGTGCCCTTGTGGTAGGTTTATAAAGATGAGCAAGTGGTGGTGATTAAGGATAAATACCCTAAGGCCCATTACCACTGGCTGGTCTTACCATGGGCCTCCATTTCCAGTCTGAAGGCTGTGACAAGAGACCATCTTGAACTCCTCAAACACATGCATACTGTGGGAGAAAAGGTGATAGCAGATTTAGCTGGATCCAGCAAGCTCCGCTTCCGATTGGGTTACCATGCCATTCCCAGCATGAGGTAAGCCTTGTTGGTAGTGCTAGTGCCTCTTGGTTTTGTGCAGGTGATTGGCCCAGGTTTGCTGAGTGTTGATAGCCTTGTGGCACAGTGAAGCAGGGTGAGATGTTTCCAAGGCTGAGGGGCTGAAGCCTCTACCCTTCTGCCTGACTTGCTTCCAACCTGTGAGTTTGTGTTCTGCCTGTAATTCAATCCCATTTTGTTCTTTTTTCCTCTGAAAATTTAGACCTTTGAGGGCCTAACATGAACTAGATGAGAGAGCTTTTGTTACCCTCACATGAAGAATTGTTGTCAGGGGCTTTATTAAGATTTTTCAAAATCATCTGGAATCAAGCCAGGTGTGGTGGTATACACCTATAATCCCAGCACATGGGAGGCTGAGGCAAGAGGATTACCGTGAGTTCAAAGCCAGTGTGGGCTACATAGTGAGTTCAAGACCAGCTTGCATTACAAAGTGAGACTCTGTCTCAAAAACATGAAAACAAAAAAACCCCAAGACCCCCAAACAAACAAAAAACTTACCCAAAATGACTAAGGACAATTGTTCTGAGAGAAACAAACATTACAGGTTTCTGTAATGACAGTTTAGTAGATATAAGATTTAAAATAAAATGAGGAGAAACTATACAGACTGTTTTCTTTTGGCTTATACCCAGAATGATTTGGAAAGAAGCTACTGATTCTTTCCAAAGAATGCAAACCAGGCAGATCTCTATAGTTCTTTTGGTCTATGCAGTGAGATAATGAGATTTTCAAAATTTTTAGCTTTTTAAAATATTAATTTTATTGCTACATTTAAGGTATACAATACAATGATATTCATTGTTGGAAATTTGTACCTTTACATAATCCATCTTTGTTCTTACTCTTTCCCCGTTCCCCTGTTCTCCCTTCAACCCTTCCCTCCTCTACAAAGACTTTGTTTCCATTTTTTCATTTTCTCATATTCCATTCCCTTCTTTTCTTTCCCCTACCCTCCCATTTCCCCTTCCCCCCTTCTTCCTATTTCACATTATCTATTATACCTTTTAGTCCTTATTTACACTTTCAGTTTCTCTCACCAGAGAAACGATTTGGTATTTACACATATGTGTCCTATTTATTTCACTTAAAGAGTATTGCCTCAGCGTGCATCTCTTTAGCTATAAATGTGTCTAATTTTTCATTCTTTATGGCTGAGTAGTATTCCATTTTAGAAAAAAACTCCCACATCTTCTTTATCCAGTCTCCAGTTAATGGGCAGTTGGGCTGCTTCCAAGTTTTAGCTATTACAAATTGTGCTGCTATGAACATGGGTGTACATGTATCACGGTGGTATGATTCTTTTAATTCTTTGGGGAAGATACCCAGCAGTGGAATAGCTAGGTCTGATGGGACTTGCAATCCTAGTTCTTTGAGGTATCTCCATACTGATTTCCACAGTGGTTGCCAGTCTACACTCCCACTAGCAGTGGAGTAGTGTTCCTCTTTCCCCACAGCCCTGCCAGCATTTGTTATTAGTTGATTTCATGATAGCAGCTATCTTTTCTGGGGTGAGGTGGATTTAATATTTAGATTCTGTTTAATATTTAGGTTGAATTGAATACATTTTGATTTTAGTTTAGTGCATGGTGAGAGATACAGGTCTAGTTTTAATCTTTGGCAAGTTGAAACCAGTTTTTCCAGCACCATTTATTAAAGAGACTACCTTTCCTGAAGGTGTTTGGCTCATTTGTTGACGATGAGGTGACTTAGTGTGGCTAGGGTTGTTTCTGCATCTTCTGATCTGCTCCACTGGTCCTCAGGTCTATTTCTTTGCCAGTACTATACTGTTTTTATCACAGTAGCTTTGTAGTATAGTTTCAGGTTGGGGATTTTAATACCCCCTATTTTGTCTTTATTGCCTAGGATTGCTTTTGCTATTCTAGGTCTCTTCTTATTCCAAATGAATTTTTGGATTGCTTTCTCAAGGTCTGTGAAGTATGCAGGTGGGATTTCAGTTAAGATTGCATTGAATCTATATAGCAGTATTGGAAGTATGGCCATTTTCACTATGTTGATTCTCCCTACCCAGGAGCAAGGGTCTTCCCATTTTCTGATATATTCATCAATCTCTTTTTTCAGAGTACTATAGTTTTCCGAGGTCTTTTATTTCTTTCATTAGATTGATTCCTAGGTATTTCATTTTTTGGAAACTATTGTTAAAAGAGTTGTTTCTCCAGTTCCTCTTTCAATGAGTCTGTTGTTTGTTTACAGGAAGGCTATTGACTTTTGTGTGTTGACCTTGTATCCAACTACTTCACTGAATTTGGTTATTAAGTCTAGAAGACTTTTGGTGGAGTTCTTAGGGTCTTCTATATAGAATATCATGTCATCTGCAAATAATGATAATTTGACTTCTTCATTTCCTATCTTTCTTTCTTTCTCTTGTCTAATTGCTGTGGCTAATGTTTCCAAAGCTATAGTGAACAAGAGTGGTGATAATGGACATCCTTGTCTTGTTCTGATTTTAGTGTGAAGGATTTCAGTTTTTGACCATTTAGTATGATATTGGCTGTTGGTTATTCATCGATGGCTTTTATCAGATTGAGGTAGAGACTGTCCCAGTGTTTTGTAGGTTTTTTTTTTTTTTATCATGAATGCATGTTGGATTTTGTTGAGATCTGTTGAGATGATCATATGATTTTTGTCCTTGGCTCTATTAATATAGTGTATTACTTTTATTGATTTGTGTATGTTGAACCATCCCTGCATCCCTGGGATGAATCCTACTTGGTCAGGGTGTTTGATCTTCTTGATCTTCTGCATTCTGTTTGCAAGTATCTTATTAAGGATTTTTGCATCTGTGTTCATTAGTGAGATTGGCCTATTGTTCTCTTTTTGGTTGGGTCTTTCTCTGCTTTGGGGATCAAGGAGATGCTTGCTTCTAGGAATGGATTTTTGTTTGTTTGTTCTGGGAATTGAACCTTGTGCATGCTAACTACACACTTGCTACCACTTAGCTATACCCTCAGCCCCAGATTTTTTTTTAATAACAAAATTTACATTTCAGCTACTTTTATTTTTTATTTTATTTTTTTGATATCAGGAATCAAACTCAGGTCCTTGTGCTTGCCAAGTAGGTGGTGGAACCACTGAGCTAAATGCCTGGCTGAGCTACTTTTAAATGTACAGTGCATTGCCATTGAACATATTCTCATTGTGGTGTAGCTGTTACCACCATCCATCTCCAGCTTATTTCATCTTCTGAAACTGAAACTTTTTACTCATTATAATAATTATCCACTCTCCCTCCCCTCCACTCTACATTTTGTATCTATGAATTTGAATATTATAGGTGCCTCATATAAGTGGAATCATACAACATTTGTCCTTTTGTGACTGGCTTATTTCACTTAGCATAAGATCCTCAAGATTCATCCATGTTTAGCATGTGACAGGATTTCCTTCAGTTATTTTTTAACTACCAACACTGACATTTTATTTAGGTGGATAATTATTACTTAGATAACTATCTTAAATAACATTAACAAAAGGAAATATTTGTACCACATTCCTCTCCCCTCCCATCAGTATTCTTTCTTTTAGACTTAATCATAATTTACACACAATAAAATGCATAATAAGATGTATAGTTTGATCAGCTTTGACATATATATGTGTGTGTGTGTGTGTGTGTGTGTGTGTGTATATTCATTATCATTCTAATCAAGATAAAGAACATGTTTATTGTCTAATCCCTGAAAGTCCTTCTGTACTCCTTTCCAGTCAGTCCTCTGTCTACCACAAGTGTTGTTTGAAGAGTTTAGCATAGTTTTTGTTACATAAATGGATTCATACAGTGCATACTCTTTTTGTTTGGCTTTTTTGGTCAGCATAATGATTTTGAAATTTCATATGCCATGGACATACCTTATTTTTTTTACTCTTTGGTGAAAACCTAGAAGTAGATGTACTAGATCATAGGGTAGATACATGTTGTACCTCATTTAAAGTAGTCTCTCATATTTATTTGTTTTGGCACTAAGATCTCAACACAGGCCTTGTACATGTTAAGCATGCATTCTACCAACTAAGCTATACCTCCAGCCCCAAGAAGTAGATATTATTTATTGTTAAAACCTTATTGAAATTTTTGGTGCAAAACTCACCCATAATTCTATTTTTCTAATACAGAAGAAGTCAAAGGAAAAAAAAAAAAAGCCAGGTGTGGTGGCGCATGCCTGTAATCCCAGCACTTGGGAGACTGAGGCAGGAGGATTGCTATGAGTTTGAGACCAGCCTGGGCTACACAGTGAGTTCCAGAGCAGTCTGAACTACATAGTGAGACCCTGTCTCAAAAAACAAACAAACAAACAAAAAAACAAAACAAAACAGAAGAGCCAATGACTGAGTCCTTGGCCACTGAGCCCTTTTCACATAGAAATCATGAAATCTGTACTTTTTCCATATGATGACTGCTGTTGTGTTAAGGAGAATGCCAAGAGTTGAGTGCTATGGTCGGAAGTAAGGGAAGCAGAATGAATACCCTTTTATGATCTCTATGATGTAAAATTTTTGAATAAATCAGTGTGATAGGAAAAGTAATTTTTCTTTCTGTAAATGTAATATTTTCAATTTAGAAAATACAGAAATAGAGTATGAAGCAGAACAAAGATCTATAATACCCACCACTGGCTTCACTGTAGAATAGACCTTATTTTACCCATTTTTCCTATAGCATCTTTTTCTGCTTCAGAGTCTAATCCACAGTGTCACATTGTATTTATTTGTTGTCTCTCCTTAATCTCCCCTGATCTGGGAGTTCCTCTTTCTTTCCTGGTGTTTGTGATTTTTGCTCCCACCTCCGTTTTTGAGATACTAGAGATTGAACCTAGGACCTCGTGCGTTCTAGGCAAGCATTCTAGTATTGAACTACATTCCCAGATTTTTTACTTTATTTATTTTAACTTTTTGAGATAGTGTCTCACTAAGTTGCCCAGGTTGGTTTTGAACTTGTGATCCTCCTGCCTCAGCCTCTGAAGTAGCTGGGAATACAAGCGTGCACCACTGTGGTTGTCTTGATCTTGACTTTTTTTGATGAGTACTGGCTAGTTGTTTGGTAGGATGTCTCTCAGTTTGATTTGTCTAATTAAAAAAATGATTATAGTAAAGGTACTATTATTTGCCAAAGATTTTTTGCCTGATATTTATGATTGTGTCCTCAGTCATATTAGAGGACACCTGCTATTGAGATGATTGATATATTACTGGTGATTTAACCTTGATCATTTTAAGGTGCTGACTGCCAAGTTTCTACACTCAAACTTACTATTTTTCTTTTGTAATCCAGTACTATGCTTCTATCCTTTTCATCAAATTTACACTGAATGACTGTTGCATCTGTTGGTGGATCGTGCCTGCCATAGTTTATTACTATGGTATTGTCCCAGTGGTGACTTTATGCCTTCACTAGTTAATTAATTAATCATTAATTTGGGATTGAATCCAAGGCCTTTGAACTGAGCTATATTCCCTTTTTAAATTTTTTGTTTTGAGACAAGGTTACACTAAGTCACTGAGTTGCCAGCCTGGGCTTGAATTTGCAGTCCTGCTGCCTCATCCTTCAAGAGTGCTGGGATGAAAGCTGTAAGCCTCCACATTTGTCTCTAATTTATTAATTGAAATTCTTCTGTATGGAAGAGCCTTTCCTTCTCCCTCATTATTTATTTATCCAGTTATTTATTAGTATAGACTCATGGATGTTTATTCTGAGGGTTATAATTTAGTACTGTCATTAGTTTGTTGCTCCAGTCATCATCATAAGCTCCTTTAGATGGACCCCTCTGTCACTTTGACATGCTCCCCAATATTTTTTAGCATTTTCTTATTTTCTAGCCCCAGAAGGTGTTCCTGGCTTATCTTATATTTTTCATGTCTCAGCCCTGTAATGAATGATATCTCCAAAAAGGCCTCTTTTTTTTTTTCCCTGATGATGATATTTATTAACCAAGACTTGGGTGGTAGGATTCTGTGAGAGAAGTGGTTGCTTCTAGAAAGATGTTACTTCTAAGTCCTTTCAGTAAACAGAGCCAGGAAATACATGTTTGAGTCAATAACCTACAGACACATCTTGTATTCTGTATTTATGGACCTGTACATGTACAGAGAAAGCCATAAATTCATACTATTACCTCTTATTCTATCTGTAGTTTACAAAGTTTGTTCTTGTTTCTCTTTTCCTTTTTTTGTAGCTTCTTTCTCCTATAGTGAGCAACCTAACTTTCAATAGTCACAATAAATTGCTTACTTGTTTGGTTGTAGTATTCATATAAAATGGTTATAGAGTTGCTAACCCATCCTGTCAGAAAGATAGTTACAAGTTTACAGTTTTATATACAGTTTTTGTGTCTTTAGCTTTGTAATAGTCAAAATATTGTTTTCCAAAGTTAGTTATTTTCTTCCTTATTCCCTTCAGTGTGGTGGTTGTATACATTTGTAATACAAGTATATTTGTTTCTTGCTACACATTTTTTCAGTTTGGATTCTCTGCATATACTGATTGATTTTGATTATTTGTTGGGTAGGATGAAATATTAGTGATCTAAAAGTGAAAGTTAGAGCCCGGGCTTTAGCTCAGTGGTGCTGCCTCCAGCCTTGCCAGTGCAAGGTATTGAGTTTGATCCCTGGTACCAAAAAAAAAAAAAAAAAAAAAAAAAAAAAAAAAAAAGTGAAAGTCAATAAAAAGGCATTCTGTTTGTTTTAATGAGTCAAAAAGTCCCAATTTTACCCCCGTCAATACAGGGAAATGAACCTGGGATCTTCACCCTGAGCTATTCCTCCAGCCCTTTTTAAATTTTAAATTTTGAGAAAGGGTCTTTCTTGCTAAGTCACTAGGTTGCCCAGGCTGGGCTCAAACTTGCAATCCTCCTGCCTCAGCCTCCCACAGTTCTGGGATTACAGGTGTGTGCCACTACACCCAGTGGGAATATCTGATTTTATTCCTCCATGTTGCTTTTCCTTTAATTTTCTTCATCTTAGTAAGTGGCACTGCCCTAAATTAACATCCAACCATTTGCCTGGCTGCTTTCTCAGTTTAAATCACTGCCTGGTAGAGCCATCCTTGAACACTTAATAAAAGAGGTAGCCTTTCTATCCCATTTTTCTCTTTTTTTTCTTAGCAATTTTAACTATTTAAAATTTCCTTGTTTATTTATTTGTTGTTCCTCATTAGACTATACTTTCTATAAGGGCAAAACCTTTCCCATTTTGTTCACTGCTAAATTTCTAGTACCTAACCTTAATATTTACTGAGCATTAAATATTCTTTTTTATTGGTGTGTGTGTGTGTGTGTGTGTGTGTGCGTGTGTGTGTGTGTATTTATTTATTTATTTTTATTTTTATTTTTTTGTTACTGGGGATTGTACTCAGTGTCGCGAGCCGCGACGTCGGGGTCCTGCCAGCAGGCCCCAAACCTGAGAGGATTCACCGAGAGTAAACACACTGAGTCATGCTCAGATTCAAACAGATTTCTTCTTTATTCTTCTTTTACTTCTACTTCTAATACTACTTCTACTACTACTACTACTACTACTTCTACTACTACTTTCTGCCAGATGGCTCTCACACTTATATCAGGCAATAATATGAAAGTAAAAACAACTTCAAGGATGAAAAACAATCTCAAGGATAACTGTACAAGGCCACAGTTATGGCTCCACAGAATACACATGGTTTACAAGAAACAGGTGCTTTTTCTGGAAAGCGAAACTCAGCTCTACAAAATAGTTATTATAAATAATGCCATAAGATGGCAGCCCATCACGGCCAATCAGAACTTACAACATAGCAACTCCTTCGCTCAGGGAACTGCAATGCAAGCAGCCAGCTGTCTTGCAGTCAGTCTCCCACACTCAGGACCTTGTGCTTTTAAGGCAGGTGGCAGAACCACAGAGCTAAATCCCTGGCCTTATTGGTATATGTTTCTGATATGTAATAATTACATTCAACTTAGGGGGAAAATATACATGTATGCATTTTGATCCCCTTTCCCCTCTCATTACTCTTCCTTCTCCCCCTTTCTCTGATCCCCTACCTCATCTTCAAAAAATCTGTCTCCTATTTCTTACCATCTCTCCTTTATTTTGCTTTTTATTTATATTTTGGGTTTCTAAAATGAGAGAAATCATGTGATAGTTAATCTTCTGTGTCTGACTTCACTTAGCGTTATGGTCTTAAGATTCATCCATTTTCCTTCATTTATTAATAAGTACGTGTATTGAATTAAATGGACATACTAGCAATATTATGTGCACCAGTACTTTGATTGTCATTTTGGCTAAGCTATAGTTTTTAATGAGTTTAATATTTACTTTTTTCTTCAACTAGCCATGTACACCTTCATGTAATCAGTCAGGATTTTGATTCTCCTTGCCTTAAAAACAAAAAACACTGGAATTCTTTCAATACAGAATACTTCCTAGAATCACAAGGTAAACCGTATTCTTTGATTTTCACATTTGCTTTATTTTCTCAGCTGAGAAAATTGTATTTGATTCATTCATTTCCCTAAATAACAGTGTGGCCTCCACCTCCAACTTTGTATCCCTTATAAAGAGAACACTATTAAAAGAAGCTGGAAGCTGGGTGTGGTGGCGCATGCCTGTAATCCCAGCACTCGGGAGGCTGAGGCAGGAGGATCACTGTGAGTTTGAGACCAGCCTGGGCTACATAGTGAGTTCCAGGTCATTCTCAACTACATAGTGAGACCCTGTCTCAAAAAACCAAAAAAAAAAACCTGGAATATTTGGCTTGTAGTGTGATTGCCAGAGTGCTCTGAGCACCCTTCTTGAAGGACCTTAGTAAGCTATTATATTAGGGATAAAAGGTATTGTATTTCACTGCGGCAACAGGAGACCTAAAGGTTATTATGAGAAGGCTCTAACAATTTTTGTCTCCTTTGCTGTTGGTGGGCAGAGCTTGGGGGTTGCCTCATCTTGGGGGTGGCTAATGAACAGAGGACATCTGTGTGTAATTAGAGGAATCATTTCCTGGTGTGTAAACTGTGAACTTAGTGCTGAGATGTTAATGATGGCAGCTGCCATTTACTAAGGGCCAACTGGGGTGAAGTACTGTGATACGTCCTGACACGGTCATATGGAGTGCGTCTTGAATAATTGTATTATCTCAGAGATATGTTGCTCAGATTTAGAATCTTATCGAGCTTATCTTCCTACGTGAAGTTTAACCTGTAGCTTACTAGCTTTAGGGTAAGTGGCATATTAATTGGAGTTATGTTTTCTCTTTTTGATTATTTTACATTGGCTTTCTGAAGTAGCTAGGATCTGAGCTTTTCTTTTTTGCTTGCAGCTGTGATCCAGATGGTACAAGAGGCTGGCAGAGTGACTGTCAGAGAAGGGACATCTGAGCTCTTGAAGCTGCCCCTTCATTGTCATGAGTGCCAGCAGCTGCTGCCTTCCATTCCTCAGCTGAAAGAACATCTCCGGAAGCACTGGATGAAGTGATTCTGCGGAGCCTGAACTACTGCCACAAGTGTGGCCAGTTGGAGTGAACTGCTGGCACCCATTCTGGGTTGCTGGTGAATGTCTGCTTATTTCTTGAATTAAAACATGCAGCTGTGTGTGTGTGTGTGTGTGTGTGTGTGTGTGTGTGTGTGTGTGTGTTTTAAACAAAGTTTAAAGTGTCCACAATGTAGGGTGACTCAGAATAACTCAGGAATTAGGAATTTGGATTTTCCATGGATGTGTTCTCTGATAAGGGTGACAGGGATATACCTGAGCATCATGTCCAGGACCCATGTCAAGTCTAGTGAGATAGAGTAAGATATATAAAGAGTGGACTATATATATATATATATATATATATATATATATATATTTGTTTTGTTTTTTTGAAAGTTTATTTTTAATAAGTGATTTCAACAAAAAACAAAAATTTCCTTTTTTTGTTATATATTTTTGTTTTTTATGTTTATCCTTCTCCTTCAGAAGCATGTGATATCTTTTTATCAAAGTGGCTAGAATGGTCTCTTGTTAATCCTGAAGGCTTTCAGGGCCTAAAGTTTTCTGATCTTAATCTATTCTGTAATAGTCTTCTTCATTCTTTCATGGGGAGGCTTATTCTGTCCCTTTTACTTCTTACTATCCAGGGTGACCTAAATACTTTCCTCTCAGGAAGTTAGTTCTAGTCAGTTCTTCACTGTGAACACTAAGGCCAGATGAGACTTTGGAAGGTGGAGATTTGTTCCATTATCAGGGTCATGGCTGGTGAGGCCTACTTGGATCTAATAAAGTCTATTTGTTTGAGGCATCTCTTCAAACTCTTTGAAAATGATTGGAAATTCAGCTGACAGTGACAAGGTTGGTTTTGATGCATGTACATGTATAGGACCACAGGTTTATTTTTCACTGAGAACACATTTGGTTGTGCTAAGAGGTGTAGCTTAATGGTAAAGCACTTGTCTCACACTTGGCATGAAGCCTTAGGTTCACTCCCTAGCACCAAAAAAAAAAAAAAGAACAAATTTGAATCCAACAGCTGTATTAAGTTGGGTTTTTGGCAGTCTCAAACTAAAGGTAAAGGGAAAAATAAAAGTTGTTTTTGATCAAATTGTTGATGTATTTGGGGATGATTTTCACCTTGTTTTCCCCTATGATCCTGGGGATTGAATCAAGTAGGGCCTCATGCATGCTGGGCAAGCATTCTACCACTGAGTTACATTCCTGGCCTTTAAAAATTTTTTATTTTGAGACAGGGTCTTGCAAAGTTGCCTAAGCTGGTCTCAACCGTGTGTCCTCCTGCCTTAGCTTTCCAAATAACTTGCGACTGCAACTGTATACCACCACACATGACCTTGATTTTCACTCTTGAGCTTTAAACAAAAAGAACTTTGACCTCTTTGGAGAGAAAACCTCAATCCATAAGACCCATTTGACCTCATTGTGTATCACAAAATACCACAGAGCTTGCTTGTTGAGCTTGGGTACAGTAGTAATTAGTAGTAATTAATGATTATAGAACTGCTATTTACCAATTCTTAAGTGTTTGGCACTATGGTAAGCACTTTAGTTAAATTATTTTAATACTGTACATAACTATGAGATAGGTACTATTGTTAAGTCCCTTTAATGGATATGATCTAATATTAATGGCACTGGTTTCTAAAGGATTTGGGTTCTGATACATCGATTCATTGTCTGGGAGTTCAACATATAAAGTGAAGAACTAGTCACCAGGTGTCATAGAATTCAGGGCCTTGGCTTGTGTTAGTCAAAAGCTTTTATAGCATTTTATTGATTTCCATGAGGCCAGTTGCTTCCTTCAAAGCCCTTTTTGTCTATTTCTCCTTATCCAGCGTCTTTCATATCTGTTCATTGTCCCTTGTGTACTCCAGGAATATAGTCTTTCCCTCACCAGTCCATCTGTGCATAGCTTCTTTTCTCTGGCTTGACCCTGTACCTTTGAGCCTCTCTTGCAGTGGCTATCCACTTACCCTGTGGCCTGTGGGGTTCTTCCTCAATCCATCTGCAGAGGGTCTATGGGTTCAGTCTCCCCTTTTAGCACCAAGTCAAATCATAGGCAGATTAATTAAGAACAGATCTGGCTTCAGACCTGGGTCCCAGCCCTGGCTGCTGCTCATAGCTGAGAAATCTTGGGGAGGAGTGACTTATTTTCTCTGAACTTCAGTATTCACACATGAAAATGGACATAACAGAGTTGGACTATAAGGGTTAAAAATAATTCATGTATGGTTTAGCAGAGTATCTAGTATAGTGAAGGGCCCTATAAATGGTAACTGGGAGCCTCTGCTTTTATTTTGGTGGCAGTTGGGAAGGATGGTTTACCTATTTATGGACATCTGATGCCTTAGGGCCTTAGAAACTTCCTAAACATATACTCCATGAATTCCTGAAATTAGGATTATTGATTTCCCTTTTAAAAAATGTAAACATCTGGGTTCTACCCTAGAACTGCTGAGTTATCTCGAGGGGCTAGGAGTATACATTTTTAAAGCATTGAGGATGATTGAGAACTAAAACATCAATGAACCAACCCTTGGCTTCTAAGAGCCCTGGACTTCAGAAACTTGCAGATTTGGCTGTGGTCTACTTCGGCACATGCCATTGTCTAGTTGGCTGCCTGGACCAGTTGCAAGCTTTCCTTCCCTTTGCAGGGTTAAGATTATATCAGGATCCTAGGTAACCTCAGACATTAGTTGAAGGAGAATGCCTGAGTATAGGGACTGGCACTTCCTTTCTGCGAGAGTTAGGAGGAGCTCTCATGGTCCCAGGTTGCTGAGGGCCAGAGTTGGACCAGAGATTGCTCCTCTCCGTGGCTCTCATTTCATCATGCCCAGAAATCAGTCTGGTGGCTGAGCCTGGGACCTATAATGGACATTGCCAGGCTTAGGCTCAGCATAAGCACTTTTTCCTCTACTGCATCTGTCTGAGGTTTTCAGGCACAAATGGTTCTTGCAGGGATCAGACCAAACGAGACAATTGTTAAAGAGCTCTGCAGTTTCAGGGGGCATTTCCTAGAGGCTGGCATCTGGCATTCAGTCTCTCAGTGGACCTGGATGAATATCAGAGATTCAGAACTTTACTGTCAAAGTTGGAGTGCTTCTCTCTGCTCCCAACAACTCGTGGACTTTCACAGAGTTCGAAGATGCTACCATAGACTAAATTTTTAAAGAATATAGTGAAAGCCATGAAGCCTGCTTTCCAGGATAATGTATATTTACATTTTATATATATTATCAGGGAGTTTATTAAGCCATTGAGGAGCTTCCATAGACTCAGGTCTCTGAACCTCAATTAAAAAAAGCTCTAGAGAAATAGGCCATGTTCAGGGAATTTGGGGTCATGATGCTTCTCTCTCAGCCCTTTGATGTGTGGACATCCTGTGGGGTTTGGTTGGAGATGGAGGTCCAGGCTGTTGTTCCAGTGTAGACTTCACACTCAAAAGGAGTCTTGGGACCCAAGGAAATCTCAGTGGATCTGAAGGACTCAGAAACCCTGACTGGAAGGTATTTAAAAGGCATTTAATCTTTAGGATGAATGTGTAGGGGAAAACAATTATCAGTCATATGTATAGATAGATCAGCTGTATCGTGACTATCTCAGGACAGTGGGAGTGGCAGTACTTGGGTACAGTATGTGAAGAGCACAAACTACTGAAGACAGCTTGTAGCAATGTGTGCTTGTATCTTAAGGCAGAAATTTTAACAGGGCCTAGCCAATGCTCTTAAGAATTATGGAACATTTAATCAAACTTCAGATAAAGTTCTCCTGGTGTGTGTTTTAAAAATAGATACTGCAAGAACATTAAATTTAATTGCCACTTTATTAACAATGCTATATAGTTTAGCACATCAATATTACAGTCAAAATGAATAATTAGAAACTGCAACCAAGAACAGACTGTATCAGACAGTGTAATAAGTGAGATGTAACGAAGGAAAATTTGAATGAGGTGATCACCTCTACATTCTTTGTTTAGCCTGGCTACTCAGTGACCTTGAAAAATAGATGTTTTTAGAAGAAAAAAATGTGAATAATGACTTGAAGGTGCCAGAAAAAGGAAGTGAGAGATTTGTGTATATGGTATATGTCCCATAACCCTCTCCTATGTGGGCTATTTGTTGTCACTAGAAAAAAAATTATCTTTTCTGCACCTATTTAACCCAGATTTATTACTACATTACAATTGATAGGGTGGAGTCTTCTGAAGGTGTAGGGAGTCCTTGTGTGAAAAGGTAGACCAAAGACAAGTAAACGTGTTTGTGATATCAATTCATACTGTTTCCTGCGGTAGGGGCTATCCTTCATAACTGCCCCACAGTTTTATTAAAATAAGTTGAATTGATGTAGCCATGAAAGCAAATATATAATCCAGCTCAGTGGTTCCACCGCCTGCCTCACAATCACAAGGTCCTGAGTTCGATCCCTGGTACCAAGGGGGCGGGAAGAAGGTAGATAGATGTGACAGCTGAACTGGGAACCTGAAACTGAGAAAGTGAGTTTCAGAAAGGAGAGCATGAAAAATGGAGCTTAAGCCGAGCTTTTAAGAGATCTTAAGTCAGAGCTGGAGAAAAGGGCTCTCAAAGTCCATTAGATTTAAAGTGGAATAATTAATATCTTTGTCTTAATCTGTTCTTTTTTAGGTAGATAAACTACCTCCAGGGAGTGAGTTTGGGGTTTTAGATTCTAACAATTATGTATTCTGGTGCCTCTGACCCAGGAAAGGGCTGCTTGGTGACCATTATATAGGCAGTTGTAAAGACTTACTAAATTAGTGACATATGGAAATGCGTGAGACTACCTCTGAGGCTGCCTGTAAGGACTAAAGGAACATGATTTAGTGAAGCCACAGTGAAAGCCCGTTTCTTTCCAGCTCTGGCTTCTCAGAATGAAAACTAGGGCCTTGGACTAGATGATACTTAAAACTTCTACTTGTAAGATTTGCGTTTTCAGGTTTTAGCTAAATGTTTCCCTCCCTCCCTCCCTTCCTTTTTGAGATAGGGTCTTACTATGTAGTCCAGGAAGTTTTGGAACTCTGTGTGGCTCAGGCTGGCCTCAAACTCTGTGATCTCCCTATCCCAACCTCCCAAGTGCTGGGATTATAGGCGTGTAACATCATGCCTGGCAGTTCTTTTTTCCTAATACCAAAATTGGCATGTGAGCTGTCTAATTCTGAAGAGATTCTTTGCATCCATGCCTCAATCTAAAAGTTTTTAAAGAAAGCAAGCTTCAACTGCCCCACTTTATGCTGACTCTGGACTCCTGGAGGGCAATGAAAGGCATGTTGAATTTGGAGG